ATCGGTTCCGCATAAACAACGGCGCCGTTGAATACCAGAACCGATTCCTCCGCAGCGATACCTACGAGAGTAACCTTCGGGCCAATCGGATAGTGGTGTCGGAGTTCGGGACCCACGCCTATCCCGACCCCTGCAAATCCATTTGGCAGAGGTTTCAGTCCTGGTTCTCGACCAGTACTCCGATGACCGACAACGACAACGTTAATATATACCCGGTTAGGGACCAGTTATACGCGGCCACAGAAACCAATTTCATCCGCCGTATCGATGGCGACAATTTGGAAACTCACGAGAAAGTGGATCTGTCTAAGTATCTGACCATCAATATGGCCACCGCTCACCCGCACGTCGATCCCGACGGCACTGTCTATAACATGGGCTCGAGTTTTGGCCGGAATGGCAAATATCACTTAATAAAGATCCCGAACTCAGAGAATCCATTCGACAATATGTCAATTGTTTGCTCCATACCTATGGCGAGACCGCTATATCCGGCCTATTATCACAGTTTTGCCATAACTGACAATCACTACGTGTTCATTGAACAGCCGCTGGTCATGTCTGTGCCAACATTAGCTATGAGTAAAGTGACCGGCAGTACATTTGCCGACGCCCTTACGTGGAAACCAGAATATATGGTAAATATAGTTTTCCTAATTCCAGTGATTTTTTTGATAGATTGCTGTATTTTTAATCATTTTAAATGCAAATTTTTAGACACGATTTCATTTGATCCGAAGAAGTGATGGACAACTAATTGATACGAAGTATACATCGGAAGCGTTTGCTTTCTTTCACACGATTAACGCCTACGAAGATGAGGATCAGATGGTGATCGACATATGCTGTTATACCGGCGGTAATCTCGCGCCGGCTTTAAGTAATCAGCACTTGAAGGATGTGATTGAAGGCAAAGCCAAATACGAGTACATCACTCAAGTCAGGCGTTTTGTTTTGCCATTAAAACAACGGCTGGAAAATGTATTTAATTAATTTATTTGTTAATTGAAACAAACTATTGATAACTAATTTAGTTTTTAAATACGATATTAAAGGCGACTCCGGGAGCAAATTTGGTTACTTTAGGTTACACTGAAGCCAGCGCTACATTAGGCGCCGACAAGTCATCAGTAGAGCTAAAATATGAGGCTATGACTGAACCTGGTAATTATTTTATAAACAAATACATTTATTGTGGCTAAAAGTTAATTCCAAATTTACCATATATTACAGGCCCAGGAGTGGGAGAATTACCGCGAATTAACTATACATTGAATGGCAAGAAATATCGCTATTTTTATTCAATAACGCAAACCAACGATTTTAAAACTAATCTTGTAATTAAATTATTAGTACGGTATATCATTAATATTGTATGTAATTTATTGTTTACGTAAACTATAGATGAAATTTGACACAAAGACAAAGTCAAGTGTGATTTGGGCGGAGGAAAGTGCCATTTGCTCCGAACCCGTGTTCGTCGAGAACCCGGGCGTTGATTACTCCGATCCTAATAACGAAGACAACGGTTTGTTAACATTTATTAATTGAATTATGAATTAAATTGCTTTAAATGCCAACCCTTTAGGTGTAATCCTATCGTCAGTTCTGTCGGATTTGGACGAAACGGAAGGCTTTTTGCTGGTATTGGACGCCAAGACATTCAAAGAGTTAGGTCGCGCCCGGTTTCGCACCAAATCGTCGATTACGGCCACATTTCACGGCTTATTTGTCTCATAAATAAATGTACGGCAAGTAATTTAAAGCATTTAACAAACTATTAAAATTTATATTATATTTTTAAATATTTATTGTTTGGCAATTAATGTCATAACTTATAACCAAATTATAACCAAAATATTTGAAATATTCACATATTATCAGATAATGATAAATGTTATTAGTTTATTCTTGTTATTAAACATAACTTACATATTCCTACTATAATAGAGCTTATATTTATGTGCAAAAAAATTAATAAATAGATAGTCAGATGTTATGCATTAAAATTTATTTTTAAAATTATGTTTATATACAATGTTTTATAATAATAGTTGCATTCAATTATTAAATAAATAAGATTAAAAAAATAAAATCAATAATAATGGGGAAAACAATTTCATTAAATTGGTCATAGATTTAGAGGACACCGGGGGGTCCGTCACATCTCTTCAGTTTAGTCGTTCTCACATCGCTTGAGCTCCTGATGCCAGACCTCATCGCCCGGACAGGGCTGAAGAGTGAGTCTCCACTGATGGGGACCGATATTCTCGCACTGATAGAACTTATGTTTGTCATTAAAGTCGGGCATAAAGCCATCCAATGAGCAGTAATGGTCGACAAGATCTTGGGTTGTGGTCGGAATCGGGGATTCAGTGGGTTTAGTAGGCGCTGGTGTGTGTGTAGTCGGCGCTACAGTTGGTATTAGGCCACCGATGGGACAGTCTTTGTCGTCGCGTTGGTCTCCGTTGAGCATTGCGTGCACTTTCTTAAGCAACGGGTATTGCCGTCCGTCCCCGCAGTGGGACTTAAAGTCGTCGAACTCTAGCGACCAAACCATCGCTCCCTTCAATCCCAATGATTTCATGTATGCGACCTTTTGTCGGGAAAATACGGTATAATTTGTATTAACAAATACATGTATATGCTTTCAATATAATACAAAACATACTTTGCATTGAATACTCCTCTCGTTATCAAATCCGACAAAAAACTCGTTAGTGTAAGCGTAGGGCGCCTTATAGTAGTAGTCCTCCTCTTCGTGCCAATCGGACGCTTTATTCATCGTACAAATCTGTTTACGAGTTCATCAATAAGTTTAATAATAAAATATATTAATTCATTCATTGATTACAAACCTCGTTATAACCGAAAACACCGGATTCGTTGGATATTTTGCCCGGTTTGGACATACCCTTGACGGGGTCGTGCAGGTGATGGAGTTCCGGTGTTTTGAGACTCCACGCCCGGCCATAGAAGGGCACTCCCATTATCATCTTATCCTTAGACAGACCCAGCTTTTCATAGTAGGCAACCGTGTATTCAATGTTAAAGTCTCTGTAATGTTGTCCCAATTTCTTCTCCAACTCTGGAGTCTCGTCGGGTCGGCTATAGAGCGGTGCGTTGTGTCCGATATAGTCATCAAAACCACCATGGTAGTCGTATGTCATCAGATTACCCCAATCGAGCAGTTTGTTGAGCTCCGGCACATTATAGGCCGCATCGATCGTAGCCTTTCCGGGCGAGAGGGCGGCTGTCAATAAATACTTGGTTCCCAACGCAGCCCTTAATTCTTGCAACAGTTTAGTGTAATTGTCTTTATCAGTGACGGCACCGCCTCTATTGCCCGGGTATTCCCAATCCAAGTCCAGGCCATCAAACTTATACTTCTCGAGGAAAGCGACCGCACTTTTCACAAACTTCTGTCTCATTTCAGTGTTGGTAACCATATCTGAGTACTTCTCTGACCCCTCATACCAACCGCCCAATGATATCATTAGTTTGAGCTTTGGATTCACTTCTTTCTTAAGAGCTATAAATCTGTCGTAACCCGCTTTTTGTTGTCATTAAATGGATTGTAATATAAATATTAATAAACATTATAACCATTTATAAACAGTATTAGTGATGAAAATTGAAGACAATAAATATTGATTCAATAAATATATAAATAATATTTAACAACAAAAAATGCTTACATTTTCCGATATCATAGTTCTCGTCAAACACTTGCATCTCATAAGTTGTTTCATTGAGTTTAGCGAAACCATAGTTAATATGAGTGCACAGATGTGCGGCCGGTTTTATGTCGGTGATGTCAAACCTATCAATCTCGTGGTAGAATGCCCAAGCGCCGAAATAGCATACAATCGGTATCGGTTCAGCGTCATTGTCTATTAGTCAAATTAATATATGATGGTTATTTTGAAAAATAAAACTAATTTGTGGTCTTTTTTCAATACCTCGGATAACATTGGCGTCCAATTGTGTTATGAATGCCAAACACAACGATGAAAGCAAAAAAGCGCTGATTTTGCCCATTTTTTCTTGTTTTTAAGTCTATGTAAAACAAGAATTAGTTAACAATTTGTAATATAAATTTTGCTTTTATACTAACATAAAAGGATTTAACTTTTTTAATATCGTGTGTTTGCTATCAAAATCGATGATTGCATTAATGGTTTTATCATTTTTAATAAATTATTGTTTTCAATCAAACAACCCAATTGATTCATACCTTTTTGTCCATGATAAGATACAATATGGTGATAAATAGTGCAGTACATGCCAGAGAAGTCCTTGAGTTCTTAGAAACACAATAGGATTTTAATGACCTATCACACAATTAATTACACCAGGTAATCTTTAACTTATTAATTGATGTATTTATAAGTTTTAAACCCTTAAAATAATAATAATATTGTATATGAAATACATAAGATATAGAATCGGGTACTCTTGGTCCGCAAATGTGCGGTTCATTTGATCAATGATTGTTGCAATAGGTTGTAGACGAGGCTCAATATAACCCGGATTAGTTAGTCTCTTAATTATAGATTTCTTATTAAAAATTTTTGTTGATTTTAAAAAAGATTTCAATTTACTTAAAAATCTAATTATAATATATGTTTATATTGTATAAGAATGTTGTATTCATAATAAGCTAGTATTCTGTACATATTCTATTCTATACCTAATTTTGTTATAGGTTTTTAATTTTTTGCTTTAATTGAATTAATGATTATTGATTATATTTTTCTTTACAAATATTATTATGACAACAAAAATAAACTACAAAATAACAACATTTAATTTAATTATTAAATTACAGCAAATTGTTTGTCTCTCTACTCATAGTCGTCTCACTAATGTCCGTACATTAAATGATATCACATTATTTGACCACTTTTTAATGCATATTATATGACATATTTGAATACTTATAAATGCATTTAATACTAATTGATATCAAAAGATTATCTTTCAATTTAATCGCTTTTACACATCTATTTCTCTAATCATTATTTACACAAAATATTGATATACAGTGCAACTTCTCCATAAGGAACGGGCAGATGCAAGGCACAAGTGTTCCCTATAGAGAGGGTTCCTCCAAGGGAGGTTCTGTTATAGCTATCGAAAATCCAAAATATGCTTAAAATCCGTTCC